GGACTGAGAACATACTGGCTACCGGTGCCCTGCCCGACCAAGTAGCATACTGCTTGCTCTCATCATTTAATTATACCCTGATAACAACGAAACTGCTAATGCTGTCCAATGCTACAAAAGTCGGTGCCCGGAATTCCACCATCCAGCAAGTCCTGCATCTGTCACTGTCTCAGCATACCTGTGTCGCGATAGCATCAGCTGTCTTCTTATTGTCACCGGTCAGCAGGACGACATCCAGCCCCATGTCCTTCAGAACCTTCACTGCCAGCTTAGCTTCCTCTTTGACTGCGTCGGCAATAGTGATCATTCCAGCTATGACACCTTGACAACACGGAGACAAGGACAACAGAGGGAATCAGATATCTAAAGACCTGGTCAAGCTGGTGGACAATTTCTTGTATCAATTGACACAGGATACTTTTTTGAAATAAAGCAAGTAAAAGTTAAAAATTGGATATTTTGCCAGTCTATGTTTCTGCTTAGTTACAGCTGTCTAACAAAGGGTTAAAACGTCGAAAAGTCCTACTTATTTCCATTGAGCATTTTGAATTAGGAAAAGAATTGGAGCACACAAAACTTTTAAAAGGTGTTTATAAAAATTTAACAATGAAAAAAAAAGAGAACTTTCGTTTAGAATTGTATTCTACCATCTCAGTTTCATTAAAACTTGTCTGAGTTTATTATCTTGGTTTCTAAAGATAACACATTACCACAAACTTCAGGTTAATGGTGAAAAAGATGACTACGATGTAACTATTGCACAATTACACACCATTGATGGCGACCAGTACAGCCGTTTGTCCAAGGGCTTCATATTGGGTCATGGAGTGGCTCATCTCGTCTGTCACATCCAGGTAGTTTTTCTTCATCCATTCTCTGTTGCCGATCAGCACCTCATAGATGCTGGAGTCATCCTCTTGGGTTATCTCGTCTGGAGTTTGGGAATAACAAAAGTCCCTGGAAAACTGACCTCAAAGTCCAAGAATGTCTATTTTGAGACAGTATGATAGGAGGGAGAGCTGTCTAGTATGCATTAAAGGTAGTTGAAAAAATCTACTTCACGAAATTTAGACAGATGTGGCACAACCGATTTATCTAATTTGATAAATAAAGTGAAAACCACATAACTTCGGTTTCATGCATGTCTTGAAGTCCTTGGTTCTCGAGACACATATCTTTAACTTGGCTCTTTTTGCCAAGTTTGAAAACCTACATGTATGTTCCTATAAGTAAACTTACCAGGATCATTGGCCTCCTTGTTAGACGCAGAGGTAACCTCAGAGCCACTTTGGGCATTTTGTTTATTCATTTTGGCATTCAGCATAGCACTGATCTTTGTGACTGTGCACTGGAGACCGTAGCCAGGCTCAGCACTGAAGTTGGAGCACTTGCCTACTACGTCAGACTCTAGCATCTGCATTGATGAAGTAACAAATTTGATCGTTAAGGTTACAGACTACCAGTGACCAGAATCAGAATGCCAACCTTGCGCACAGCAGGTTACAAGTGTGTATTAAATAACTTTTTGATGAACAGGGTGTTGATTTGCCAAAATGTGCATGCCTCTAGTTCAAGAATAAGCAAAATCGTGCAAAATGTGTACTGCGGATTTTGAAATTTAATTCATTCTTAACAAAAGTTAAAAATAACGTAAAACGCTACAAATTCTACAAAAGCTGGGATATCTTCTTTGGCTCAGTTGCAGTCAAAGATTACTAATAACCTAGTGAGAATGCATACTGACCTCTTTGGCATGTCTGGTCACGGCCGCACCCAAAGGATGTTCACTGCTTGCCTCGGCCGTGCCAACTATGGCTAAGAACTCCTCTTCGCTGATCTCCGAGATAGGCACAAAGACCATGGTACGCATAACACGGGGGATGCCATAGGTTATTGTACCAGTCTTGTCAAAAATGATGGTCTTCAACTGGAACATAATCAATGACATCAAATATTACAGACTTTGAGGGGATGCAAAATAGCCTACTTGTTTTTGTCACTGTGTGCAGTGCATTCATTACTGGATAGCGCACATGTGTTCACCTTGTTCACGGGCCTTCACCGCGTTAAAGGGGCAATTTCTTTTGCTAGGCAAATTAGGATGGAGTTGTAGGGACACTTCTCTGTCCCAATAAATTTCTTGATCCCGAAAAATAGGTGGAATATCATTTGTGCCCACAACTACAAAACATGCATGTGTGAGCAAGTAGAGTTAATGTTTATCAACACGGCAGCTTTGATTACTGGTACCCAAGGGCAACTTTCTCAGCAAGAATATCTGGTTTGGTTTCTATGACTAAAAAGGTCTTTCTCTTTCAACGAGTCCGTTGAGCAGGAAGCCAAAAACCCCAAACTGAAAGCTCCAAATAACTTGACACAGAAATCATTGATCTTCAGTTACTCCATTGAGGTCTGCATATACTGTACTATCCTGTGTCTTGTAAGAACATGTTAATAGTTACCAGGAAGGACACTTGTGCTCTGTACAAAAAAGTCGGGTTCAGCACTGAACATGACTGTCTTATACACAAGCCCAAATTTAAATTAATCAATAAAACAAAGTTATTAATCCTAAATTAAAAGTGCGTAACATTCCATTGCACAGGCATACTGCAATGAAAAACTCTGTTGAGGGACTAAAACCGGACAACAGCGATGAAATGGCTCCACATTCTGCTGTCCAAGCTATGCACTTTGGCAGGTATCTAAACATCAGTTCCTTGGGATCAAGTCTGTCGCCTGCGGTGGTGGAAACAATGCTCCCAACCCAGAGCTTTTTCAACGGATAGGAGAACAATCAGAATGACCTCCAAAGCTAAGGGCACCCGTCAATTCTGACTGAAATATATTTCTCAAGTCTTACTGGCAGCTTATTATTGGCTAATGAATCAATTCAACATATTTTTCAACTTCAAATGTCCTCTTCATGCAGGAAGTCCAATTGTTGCTATGTCACGCCCTCACAAGCATTTCATACACGAATGGGTATTCACTGAAGGTCAATGATGTAACAAGAGCTCCAAGGCTCTGGAATGGGGGTGGGGCGAGGCTGATTTTCTAGAAAGCACAGTCAAGCAGTTTGATTATAACAGTTTCAAGCAATATGGGGGTGTTTCTTTAAGGGGGGGTTCTCTCCAGATTCTGCAGCGGGAACCAATACATGGAAATACACAACTGAATTTGAACTTCTGTTAATGCGGGTAAAGTATCTAAAGCAATTTAAAAACAAGCTCCGGGCAAGGCTAAGAGGAGGTCTATTCCTAGCAAAAACCCTTGTGGTATTTCAAGGACTAGATGTATCAAAGAATGCATATGATGCCCCCCTTCTTCTTAGTATTCAAAAGAATGTGATAAGCAGCTTTCTATTCTTGATATATGATTCAGTTTGTAATCATAATAAATATAAGCAATAGGGTAAAATCAATGACAGTTCTTACTGATTTATCTTGTGCAAGATTGAACAAGTTTTTCAACTGAGCCTGTGTATGGAACAGGTCTCATGTGAAGACCAGAGATTCCGCTCTGCACTAAACCCACGTGCTCATGCAGTGAGATCCCACTAAAGGACTATTGTTTCCATGAAAAGGCACGCCCTCTACCTGTTCCTGCTTGGAGCACATGTTTAAAGGTACCTCTGATGACTTTTGACTCCTTTTTTGGAGTTGGATCATGTCTGGGCAGCTCTGCTTCACTACTTTGAAACTAAAGCCCTCAGACAACTCATGGCCTAGACTCCAATCCTTGACAACTGAAGCTAAGACTTACCCTCCGAGCGAGTTCAAGTGGCTCCCCTCCTTTGATCAAGATGCCCATGCGGGCCCCTATTCCGGTTCCCACCATTACGGCCGTAGGGGTGGCCAGGCCCAGGGCGCAGGGGCAGGCTATAGCCAGGACAGAGATGGCCACTTGGAAAGAGAACTGAATGGTGTTCTCGGTGGTATGGTTAGCACCCTAGGGGGGTGGAGACAAAAGAGCTGGAGTAACAGCTTTTTATTACATAAAGCTTTTGTTTGCACATGAACAAAAATTAGAGATATCCGACACTGCTCATCCTCTATGCACTGACCATTTGTGGCCTAAATTTGCAATGAAGACTATTTAGCACTGTAAGCAATAGAAACAGGTGTAAATAGACACTAAAATGACAGACTTAAGCTCCTGAAATCACTTATTTACGTAATCACAGCACACCATTGTGCTGATATTAGATAAAACTTGTGTCAGACAAGAACGTCTAAAGATATTACTGACAGTGAAGAAAGTGTGCGGGGCAATATATCAAACAAGAAAATTTTAACAGGCAATTTCAAGGCAAACAGCAAAAAGACTGTAAGTCAGAAGAACAAAGAAGACCGTTCTCATAGTCCACAGAAATTCCACAGAAAATAATACAAAATTAAAGTCTGACTTGTGCCTTTGAATGGCACGGCCCTCATACTTCCAGAATGCATCATGTAATAGAATAACGACATCGTCCTTTGTTTATATGTGCACTTTCCTCTGGTAGTGAGGTAGGGTGTGATCCATCAAGCCCCACAAAGGAAAGTGCGCATGCAAACAGAGTGTGACGTTTAGGTGCATTAGGGCAGTGAGGTCGCTCATACCTGACAATTGGTACAAAGTAGCAGGGTACCAAATATTGTTTAAATAGGGGTTATCATCCAGAATCTTACACATTCTAACTTGAGCTTTGCACTAATTTGTAAGATGACAGTTTTACTATTGATGATTATAACACGATGTGCTACGGGGACATACCAACATGGCACTTTTGTGGGAAATTGTGCATTGAAATATGTTATAGTTCCAGGTCTGGTTTTTGTTCAGGAAACAAACGGCAAAATTCTACACTTATACCTGTGCTTACAGTATTCAGACCACAAAAGAGTGCAGTGGAGACTTTGTGACACTGCTGTTGCTACTGATAAAGACCTCGAGACCTAGGAATTTATAACAGATACTAATATCAAGCCACAGTTATTACTTACACGTGGGTTTTGCTTTGGGATCAAGTCTGGGTGGGTCATTCCAATTGCAATCCATATCGCCAGTGTGAGACTTGACAACACTAGGATACCGGGTACAAACACACCAGCTATCTTGTCAGCTATCTGCTGGATGGGGGCCTGACAAGAAATGGGAAAAGAAAAGCAAGAATACTACCTATTTGACATTATCTTTATGCAGACCTGGTTTTCAATGAAGTAATGCAGGCGGGAAAACATACGATTGCAATTATGAACATTCCCACTCATTCCTATTATATTAACCACTTACCAAAGTGGTTTAACCCTAAGTCTTGCCAATTTATTTGAACTGATGCCATCGTAGGTTTTGAAATTAACTGAATTCATTTTCAGGGGAGGGGGTTCTAAATTCAAAGTGTTTTTATACGACAGGCTTGTTATTGAAAATTTGGTTCACACAAAGATGCTATGGATTCAGGATGGTTGCAACCAATTAACATTCCACCCTCACCCTAAACTGCACGCGTGCATTGTCAGACTAAACAATTTCATAGGAAGAGAGTCTGCGTGTGTGCAAATTAATATACATGTAGGTTACCTGCACAACAGTCACTAAGAACATGAACCTGGGAGAGCATCATATTTCACAATGTACATTTATTGCTCCAACTTTCGTTGTTCACACTGACCTCCCAGCCCAGTGTGCAGTGTGCCAAGTTGGTCACTCTTGTTCTTATTTGTATAGTAACTTACTGTGCTTATTCAGTTGACATTAGTAAAATATAGAAGTAGCTTGCATAACTCTTACACTTTAATAAGAATAATACAGAAGTTATATAGGGCCCCATTGATTTAAAAAAAATGCTCAACTATTGAAAATAATACCATTGAGATCTATTCATGAATACCATAGAAAGTTTCCCTATTCAACACCATGTAATGTGAATGTCTATTCACATTTGATAAAGCCCGCTGCTTAAAAATGCACTGGCACTTGGATACGAGACAGTTTAATCCATTCCTATTGGTCAAGAGCCTATGTGTGCCATGGCAGGCAGAACTCACAACTTGCGCTAAGTCCACATAAGGAGATTCTTCTGGACTACTAACAAGGAATATACCATAAAAAGGACGGCGTGTTCAGGAATATGAAAGTAACATTCTTGAACAAAATCCTCGGAAATTTATATCAACTTCTTTTGATTCTCTGACTAAAGCAAAATTTACCAATGGGAATAAATATGTGCTTGCTAACGTTTAGACTAGCTCGGGAGGATGAACACTGATAATTCCTTTTCCTGTAGCTTGGGCATTAGTCCCATCCAGTCTTAAATGCACGTTTCAGACAGGCCCTGCTCAGATTGATTCCCTTAATCTAAGAACCAACATTCAAATAAATTATGCACAGAAATGAAAGGGTTTTCCAAGCCATCAAGCAATGGAATCAAGCGGTTCACGATGACTCACCTTGGAGGTCTGCGCATCTTCAACCAGCTTGACGATCTGAGCCAGAGTTGTGTCTGCACCAACATGGGTCGCCTCCATCAGTATGGTGCCCGTTTGATTGATGGAGCCGCCGATCATAATACTCCCTGCAATTAACACATTCATTAGATATTGCCTTCAAATAAACTTTGTGGAATACCAATTAGCAAGTCAACTTTATGTATCACTAAATTACTGTCACTGTCCGTGTAATGATAAGTGACAAAAACGGAATCATCTACTGCAATATCCATGATGCAATGACGCTCATTACTTCATACTGATTGTTTTTAGTTTATCAGATTTTCCTGTTCACAATATGTTTACTTTTCAACTTGAAACCTTTTTGTTGCTTTCTTTTGTCAATTTTACCAAACTGCATATTCTGTTGATATCGTTACTTTTACGATCGTTTGAAGTTTCCTTCTTGAACAATTGCTGAATCCGGCTGCAGGGCAAATTTCATAGAGCTGCTTAATTAAGCATAAAATTTGCTTAAGTGCAAGAAAACCTTACTTGATAAATCAGGTAACCAGCCCAAACTCCATGTGATGTATGTTGTTTGGGGATTGTATTTAGCTGTTTTGGGGTTAGCATGACAATCAGATAGAGTTTGAGCTGGTAACCTTTGTTTATTAAGCAAATTGTTTTCCCGCTTAAGCAAATTAATGTGCATAAGCAGCCACATAAAATTGGCCCCTGGCTGCAGATCTTCAAGTTACATACTTGCCAATTCTAACACATGTTGTATATGAGCTAAAAATATTCAAGAATAAAACCAAAACCAAGAGGAGCAGATCAAAACCAAAATCATGACTGAGAACTTGAAATCTTAAATTACACAAAGCTCTGCAAAACATGTTACATTGACAAACAGACCAAGGGTTCATATACAAGACTCGGGGTTCAATATCCGGCTGTTGGTTTGAAAATTCATTGTTGTGTTGAAATCAGGACAGATCTATCACAAGTTAATGAAATCTTAAATCCAGTCCAAACCTGTTTCAGTGATCATGCATTCCTTTGTCCTTGTTCATTCAGTGTTCCTTGAGTATGTGGTTGCTCAACTGTAAGTGTGACTGACTATAAGACTACAGAAATCTCTTGAAAAAATGCTAACGATTTACCCAAACCACAGGGTAAAACAATGTGAACCTCTAGCAAAAGAACATCCCCAATGATTTTTGTGAACCAACCTGGTTTCTTGTACACTGGCATGGACTCTCCTGTGATCAATGATTCATCAGCCGCTGACAAGCCATCAATCACTTTCCCGTCCACTGGAATCTTCCCACCAGGGACTACTTTCAGAATGTCCCCCCTTTCTACCAGCTCCACACTGATGGAGCGTTCGCTCGTCACCTGAAGCTCTTCTCCGACAGTGACGAGGTTTGCTTCAGCAGGCTGCAGGGACATCAGTTTGGAGAGCGCATCTGATGTCTTCATCTGAGATATCAAAATTAATAGTTGTTTTCATATTTTATCACACCAGAAATATCCACAGGTTTAAAACAAACAAATGTACAGCCCATTATGTGGAGTCTACAAGTTATTCTAATTGTATAAAATGCTGTATCAAACAGCAAATTTTTCATCTTACATGTACTGGTGTAAGTCAAATCTATCACATCAAAAGAAATATAGGATAAATTTGTAGAAAGCTAGAATTCATCTATGGGAAACTTCTGTTTAACTGGATTGGTTAAGTGTTACCAAACTGGTGAAATGAAAACTACTTCATAAAATAAAACAGAAATTGAAGAATAACTCAATTGGAACCTTTGACAGAACTACCAAGGGGTGCTTTCACAAAAAAAAATTGATCAAATACTTTATCTCAAAGATGGTTACCTTCCCAACACGTGTATGAAATTTAACAAATCCTTCTGATGAAAATAACAGGCTCAATGCATAACTACAATGTCCTCTTGCCCTCCAGTAATGGGGCTGCAATTCGAGGAAGGGACGTGCCACACCAGCCCTCACACAATTTTTCTCACAAGAATACTGATTACAAGTTGCACATAGCGAATCGCGATTTTGACTGATGTCAACTGAAAAACGGATATATGAGCAATATGCGACTGCTGTTTTATACAATTTCTGAACTTTGACCTGGGTGAATCAGTTTACACATTCCATTAGCTACAAGAAAGGGGCTCCCTTGACTTGTGTGAACAGAGAAAGATTATACATGTGTCCCGTAATCCTTAATTTTTTTAATTTGACTTCTAACCCGCCTTTTTTTTACTAAACTTTTTGAGAATGTCATTTTTGGAATAGGGGAGATGCATGTTTGTCTTTTTCCTTCGCCATAGTGTATCGACAAGCACTGCGTACTCACCCATACCTGTTTTACATACAAAGTGTGGACATTCCTTTGCTCTCCTGTGGATAAGGAAACTTGAGGAAACTGCTCCTTTTTCTCCAATTAGGATAACTCTTTCGAGCTGGATTTTTGATGATGACTTCCTGGACTGTTCCTCTTCATTTTGCCACAGATAACCTTGACCCCAAAATGCCTCTGAAACTGTTTTTCAGAGAGGGGGAAACATTGTGTGGACATGTGCGAGTCCACACTACACCATCGCACCCTACATTGTGTGGACTCCTTTTGTGTAGAGGTCCACACTATGTATGCCACGCCTGCACACTTACTTGTGTGGGACTTGAACCCACTTAACTTACCTTAGCAATGCTCTCCAGCCATCTACCAAGGTTGATGAACATAAGCAGCATGGGCGGAGTCTCAAAGAAGGTGACTGGGCTCCCTTCGTCCTTCTTGATCATGGCAACAGCCACCACCACCACAGAGTAGAAGTAGGCAATCAGAGTTGCCATGACAATCAGAACGTCCATGTTGGCCGTCTTGTGGCGCACTGCCCTGTAGGCCTGAACGTAGAAGTACCTCCCTCCAACAAACTGTGGATAGTTCAGAAAGTTACAAACAAGCGTTGCAAAGTAAACTGCTTTGAAATAGTTTTCTGAACAAATAACAGCCTCACTGATACCGCATTTCTGATTTCAAACAACCAAATTAACAAGACAGCAGGGAGAACAATTCCTAAGAGTCAACTGCACTACACACTGAAAAATGCAAACATACTTGTTACGAAAATGAGAAAACAGGTTTACACTTTTAAAGCCTTATATTGAGGGTTTTTGTAAATCTTAACTTTGGTTATGTCTGACGAAAATCCCCCCCCAGAAAAAATGCCTCAATTTCACAACTTCATTTTGAAACTTTGATTCACCCCAGATTCCAACCTGGCTCCAAATTCAAAGCCCTTTTTTTCACTTACTGCAGCAGCAAATAAAGTTATTTTGCCCCGTGAGAAAACTGGCCGTAGGACACTTTCTGTACCCTGAATTTTGTCCCATGAGACTGCATTTTAACCAAGTGCAACATATAGTAGCTGCACGATAGAAGTGTATCGATTGCGTCCCTTCTTTGTGATATGACTGGTGAGGTCTTGATATCATAACAGAACCTGATACTTTTAACTTCCTTTATGGCAGTAATGGAAGTGTCTGACACCTTTGACACTGTGGCATTTACTTATAAATTGTCCACATGCTGTGCATGTCGGGGGAGAGGTATTTGGTTGTATATGATTTTTGTAACTCTTTGAAACCCTTACAGTTGCTCATAGTCTCACAGCTTTCATTAGAGAGCCACATCGTGATTTTTTTCCCACAAATACACGAAGTAATTCCTCAGTTTTGTCCAGTTTGATTTGCAGTGAAGTACTTCACTTCAGATCATGCGCCAAGTGTTCATAAAAAGTAGGTTTTGGTCACAGAGCACCACCTTCCCACATGTGAAAGCAACTTAATCAATGCATGTCCATTATTGGATATATCACTGCATATAAGAGTATCTGGTAATTGTCATTTCTAATGTGACATGATGGTCACAGTGGGGAAGATGAGTTGAGGCCAGCTACCTTGACTGGTGGTAGATACAGAATGAGCACATTGCCAGACAAAACACAAGGCACGATGTCAATTAATTTTTGTAACATGGTGCTACATGTCATGCCATTCTTGTATTTAATGCATTTATTAATTGCTATATCTCTAGTGTATGGGCTGACCAAGACAGAAAAATAACATGAATACGGCAAGACAGACTTTGGAAACGAAGACTCACCTGAACAATGGACGATAGGACGAAGAGGATGAGGTTTTCCAGGGACAGCCCCGGCAACAGGATCAGGTTCTCCTTCTGGTCTTTCTGGATCATGAAGTAGATCATGGTGGCCATGACAGGGAGGCCAAAGATGAGGGAGACCAGGAAGGAGTTGCGCCATTTCTTGACAGTCTTCTGCTGCTGTAGAGCAGTGGAGGCATGGGCCTCGTCCGTGGCAAGCTTGCATTCAAAACCGGCTTCCTGTGAAGGTGGATCACCAACCACATTTTCAGGGGAGTAAACAAAATATTTTTTTGGGGGGAGGCCCCCAAAATGTTGGAAATTTCTTCTTATCTTTATAACCTTTCTGTGTAGAGAGGCTAAATTTTTGACCTTTTTTTCATGCTTTCGGGAGGACGGGAAATGAAATAATACTAATAATGATACTCTTAGAGAAGTGACAACCAATCACTAAACACTAAAATAAGAAATAAATAAATGAATGAATACATTTAACAACTTAAAAAAAAACAACAGCAAATAAATCATACCAATACCAATCCACTTTTTTGAACTACGTAACCTCATAAATCTTGCATTGCTAAAGTAAATGATTTTTGTTTTACCTCAATAGCTTTGATAATGGCCCGAGGCCCTGCATCACTGGAGTTGTATTTGAATTCACCCCGGCACGTGGACAGTGCCACCGATGCGTGCGTCACCCCCTTGATGCGCATTACCAGGGATTCAATGTTCTTTACACAAGACGCACAATGCATGCCAGAAATCTGACGCAAATAGCAAGAACAAAAAAAAAATTATTAACTATATTTTGAACAAACAAAAAAGGAATAAGAAAACATATGTATTTACATGTGCTTCCATAATATCAGGGTTGCAATACATTTCATATTGCTAAATGTAAGGCATATTTCTTTACTTCTCATACCAATCGACCCTCTTGGAGGTCAAATGAAAAAAAAAACCCGATTCTCACTGATTTTTCATTGAACTTTCCTCCTAAACTTGTGTACAGTGACAGTGTTCGAAAATAACAGGATTTTGAAATTTATCATTTACAGTACATGTCATCGGATGGCTGAAACACGTCACCCTCACTAAACATTCTTTGGCCTGTAGCCAATTTTCTTGTTTAGCTACCCCCTGAGACAGCAACACTGCTGACCCCGATTTGGCAGTGTATTTGATTGGATTCATTCCAACCTCTGACACTACCTTCTTTAAATAAAATGTCTCATCAAAGGGATAAAAAGGGTGATCTAAACGTGATATTTGCCATTAGTTTTAACACTTGTATAGCTTGAAATACATTTGAGATGAGGCATGACATTTGAACTTGTCCCTACAGACAGACAAAAGTGAAACAAAAACAAACAAAACAAAACACCAGGAAGTACCGAATGTGAACACAAATGAGAATGGGTTAGAGCCCTTTAAATGTTTCTATGAAGCATGGCATCTCTGGCTATCAAAACTAGTGTTTACTGTAACAAGTCAATCTTCTTCAATTGCTTCCTTAAGCAAAATTGTCCTTTTTAAATTGAGTTCTGTACTACATTATTCCAGAACTTCATTTTGAAATTCTAATCCACCCCAGATGAAAAAGTGGCTATGAATTAAAATTGAAAGATTTTGCTCAGGAACTGACATTTGACTGTTATTAATACAGCTATCTTGGAAGCCCCACGAGTGCCATATGAATGAACAGAACAAGACAATATCTGAAGGAGAATGTTTACTTGGCCTCCGACTGTGCACAAAGGCTCCAAGACTGCTGGCACATGTGGCACTCAATACGTATACAATTTGCATGTGAGCATGGTGTTACTGTAATAATGGTTTTGAATTCTGGGCTCCCAAATTATCTTTGTACAAGTCAATACACCATTTGAATTTTAACACAAATTAAGGCTGTGAATTTTTTACTAAACAGATTCCGCACATTTGATTCTGAAAATAATAATGTTGTGTTTTGTGAAGCAAGAGTTTGTGACATTAGTGTTATAATTCTTTTGTAAGAGGAAAAGTCTGTTGTACTGTAAAGTGGTGGAACCTTTTAAAAAGATAGGGCTGTAAGAAAAACCATCACATCTGTCTAAAATGTTTCAAATCTAAATGCCATATCAAACTGCTGCCAGTAAAAACTGGAGCAAGAATGTACATGTAGGTTAATTCACTTTAGAGAAACAGTATCCGAATAGCAATTAAAGAAACCAGGAACCTAGATGTCACTGTACTGATCACATGACTGTGCCTGATAAACACTTGCACGGGTTGATCATGTGAATAACATCACCAGTTTCACTATTACAGCCAGCACATGATTAATGGGAATTTCCCAAATGTTATCACAGTCACATGCAATGCTCGCGCAAATATAACTGGTGTTAGAAGTTCTAGGAACGGTACATAAGTAAATACAGGGAAGGGCTCTTTATGGTGATGGAGCAGTGTCTGAGATCTCTCTAAATGTCTGTCATAATAAAAGTACCGAGTTATGATTTTTTCAAATAAACTAAACAGCATGAAGTTTTTGAAAACTATCAGTAAAATTACAATCAGCTGTAGTCCAGATGCTATTTGTCACAAGAATCTGCTTCCAACTGAACACTACAAACAATGAGCACGACACTTCAATGGAACTGACTTTGCAGATTTAGATGTAATCTTGGGGGAGAAACACCACCAAGGCCGTCAGCTGACCCTTACCTGCACTATGGACGTAGCAATGTCCTTGAGCGATTGCTTTTAAAAGAGTCTAGCACGGAAATGATGTGATTTTTTGGTTTTTTTTTTTTCTCAGTTCTAAATTTCTTCACCGTGTTAATGGATAAAATGCCGACTGAAGCATAGATCGCAACTTCAATGTTTCAACAGACACTGACAAACTTGTTCAACTCTACTCTGGGAAAGATGTCATTGTCTGCACAGATAACTTGAATTCAACATCCTATTGGCATAATTTTTCACATTCTGTAAATCAACAAAATATAGGTAATATGCACACAACCGCTGCTTTTAATGATGTGAATGTCTGACTTCTCGGGAAATCTCTTTAAACGGATGGAGTAATAGTCCTGTGGTTGGTGAAATTCCCTTCGAAAAGAATACGTAAAGGCACTGTCATCATTTATGGTACATGATACTTGGTCTCAAAACTTTAAAATTTCTCACACGGTAGCTTGTCCCTCTAACATATTGTACTGGGTAGTGACATTGTTTAACTTCATGAGTTCTCCCAGCTAGTATGTCTATAGAATTATATTAGAGAAGGAAATAGACAAATAGGACATGACGCTCCTGTCAACAGGACTACTGAGCAGTTCACCTTGAGAGCTGAAAGAGCTTTTATCAACTTAAACAATCCAAATTTACATTTATCAAACCTATTTGTTTTTCAAAGCTCTTTTTCAGTGCTCAGTCTTCAGAAGATGACATTGCTGAGCAACTTTAGTATGTATTGAATGTTCCTGTCATAGCATACACCTGCTAAAACTAAGCGCAGTAATTAGCAAAGTTGAACATGGTCCTTGCTTAATAGCTTATCGTCCGAATCAGTGTGTGTATCAGTATTGATAAAACATTTCCATTAACATTTCCACATCTTAACAGTCGTCAGGAACTCTCTGGCAATACTGTCCTTCAAAATCAAATGGAAACCAAGCTCTATTTATCCCTTTTAAGCTAAGAGCGGTTTTTGAGGTATATCGGAGAATGTGGAGGAAACCAAGGCATTCTTCAAACTACAAAAATGAGCTTACATGACAAAAATTATACCTCCTGGGGCAAGACATGAGAGCAAGATGATGTGCGAGTAAATTCTCACCGTCAACTTCAATGTTTCAATCCCACCCTGATTCTTCTCCTCAAGAACCTCGGCATCAAAGCCCATGTCATCAATCATTTCTCGGATTTCTGCTGGTGTCATGACATCAGGGTCGTAAGTCACCTCGGCCTTTTGTGCCATTAAGGCAACAAGGGCTGTTCTGATCCCTGTTGATAGAGCATTTCAAAAATACATGAAAGAATTCGCTTCCAAACTTTCTGCCTTGAAAGTAAAAATCGGTCCCCAAGGTAACGTGGACATTTTATGATCACTTAGTGGCGTTCCTCAGTTTTCTCAACTGGCTTAGGCTCATGTAGCAAGCACATATGTATGGGAAGCACACACACAAAAGAGTCGTTCTATAAATTTGGGGTCCATTTTTTTCCAGTCCATGTTATCTCCGGCATACGCAAACGCAAATCACCTGCCAAATTAATAAAAATAGTTTGAAATCAATTTCAGTCATACATGTATAAAGGTGTAGCAGGGATAAAAAAAATGTCACACGTCGGGCCCAACATTTATAGAATGACCCCAAAACAAAGACAAAAAGACTATGACCATCAAAGTGACTGCGACTGTAAAAGGAAAAGGACCATAACTGGACCCACATAATGCAGTAATGACTGGGAAAATAAAGCAACTAAAAATGACAAGTTACAATCAACAAATCATCACACATACAAAAACTCCCTCCAACGAACAAAGTATCATCGTTAAAAAAATTGATTTTGACTTTTTAGACTGTACGTGGGTTTGAATCCAACTTAAGCAGGAAATATAATAACAAAGCAATTTCACCAGATGATAACAACAAAACCTGTAAATTTGTTCTATCTCAGTAAATGCACAGTCAAGGTTGAAGTAAGCTTTTAATGTAGCCTGAAACAATCATTTCCTTTCATTTCATCAGCCCTTACGCGATCTAAAACACACCCATACTGTACATACAACTGCTGCTGGGTTATAGGGCCAAAAACCTGTCCCCCAGTTTCATCCTAGCTCAGTCTAAATTTTCCTGGCAATTAACACTTCTGTAACAAAATCTATTTTTAAGGTTTTTGCTCCTTAAATTCTTTCACAATAAATACAGAAAAGGACAAAAAAGTCTACTAATGCACATCCCAGTGGGATGACCTGTAGTCTACATGGAACCATCACTGTACGTGCGAGCACCATTCTCATGCAAATATTGCTCATAAATTTTGGCAAGTTACGACATCCAGCGTGTGTACCGCTGGAGTATGCGTGATGCCACTGCAGTAATAGCTTATGGTTCTAAAAAGTTTGCTGGCCTGTGGAAATAATGTAGGCACTTTATGAAACACAAACACGACCAAGCGCACACACACAAGAATTACCATTTCTCTTTGATTTCTTTTATTTTGGCCAAGCTGTACGTAGTTTATACATGTAGCTTATACCAGCTTTGATAGCATCAACATGCAACACGCAAAACTGTGAGGATCCAGTGCTAACCAGTGCTATGAAATTGGTGCTTGTACTTCGGGGGAGTAGGGCCTACTGATGAATTGGGGCCTACAGAG